CATTAGAGGACAAACCATAATTGTGTGATACAGTTGAGTGTGGGAGGTTACAATATTTTGTTATTGTTGCTTTTGATCTATTTGTTATGATGGTAGAGGAGGAAATTACAATCAAGGAGCAGGACTTAGTCCAGTCCAAATGAGGGTATTGACACAGTATTTGGAAGGATTAATGATACGACATAACAATGAGCTCCATGAAGGATTGGATCGATTGGAGAATAGAGGTCCTGAAGATGAAGAAGAAAGGAGAAATAAGGGAAAGAATGATGGTGTAGCAAGACCAAGTAGGCTTGAAGGAGTCAAGCTTAACATTTCTCCATTCAAAGGAAAAAGTGATATGGAGACTTACTTAGAGTAGGAGATGAAAATAGAGCATATTTTCTCATGCAAAAATTATGAAGATACCCAAAAGGTGAGGCTTGCAGCCACCGAATTTTCTGACTATGCTCTTGTTTGGTTGAACAAGCTACAAAAGGAGAGAGTTAGAAATGAGGATCCAATAGTTGATACATGGACTAAGATGAAAAGGATCATGAGGAAGCGGTATGTGTCGGCTAGTTACTCAAGGGACTTGAAATTCAAACTCCAAAAACTTACTCAAGGTAACAAGGGGGTTGAGGAGTATTTCAAGGAAATGGATGTGGTCATGATTCAAGCAAAGATTGAAGAAGATGAAAAGGTAACTATGACCCGATTTATTGCTGGTTTGAATAATGATGTACGTGATATTGTTGAGTTGTAGGAGTTTGTTAAGATAGATGATTTGCTTTATAAAGCAATTCGAGTGGAGCAACAACTCAAAAGAAAAGGAGTGACCAAGAAAAGTTCTACCAACTTTGGATCTTCAAGTTAGAAGAACAGAGGAAAGAAAGATGGGGTTGCTACTTCTAGTAGTTCCATACCTATTTCTTCAAAGACTCCTTCAAAGTCCCAAGAATAACCCTCTAAAAGAAGTAGAGATGTGAAGTGTTTCAAGTGTCAAGGCCTAGGGCACTATGCTTATGAGTGCCCTAACAAAAGGTCCATGGTTCTTAAAGAGGGAGAATATATAAGTGAATACGAGGTTGAAGAGGGAGAGGAGAGTGAGAGCATTGAGGAGGAGAAGACTCCAAAGGGAGACTTATTGATGATTAGACGATTACTTGGTAACGAATTGAAGCATATGAAGGAAAGTCAAAGAGAAAACATCTTCCACACTAGATGTTTAATCAATGGCAAGATTTGCATGGTGATCATAGATGGAGGTAGTTGCACCAATGTGGCTAGTGCTAGATTAATGTCAAAGCTAAATTTAGCTACTAAACCACATCCTGGCCTTATAAACTTCAATGACTTAGTAAGGATGAAGAGGTGCAAGTGAGACAGCAAATTGAAGTGGACATTTTTCATTGGAAAATACAATGATAAGGTGTTTTGTGATGTTGTTCTTATAGAGGTCAACCACTTACTTTTGGGGAGACCGTGAAATTTTGATAAAAGCGTAAATCATAATGGGTTCACCAACAAGGTCTCTTTCATGTACCAAGACAAGAAGATTGTGCTCAAACCTTTGAGTCCACAAGAAATGTGTGAGGATCAAAAGAAAATGAGAGAAAAATTTCTTCAAGAGAAGAGAGAAAAAGAAAGCATTAGTGAAACACTTGAGAGTAAAAAGAGTGATCAAAAGAAGAGTGAAACACTTGAAGCCACAAAAAGTGAGGTCAAAAGGTTGTTTCTTGCTAAACAACCCCTATATATCTTGATTTGCAAAAATCAGATTTTGACCACTAATACATTTGATGATTTTGAATTGCCTTCTAGTGTTAAATATCTTTAGTAGGATTTTCAAGATGTGTTTCCAACAAGTGTGCCAAGTGGGCTACTCACTTTGAGGGAATTGAGCATCAAATTGATCTTATTCCGGAAGTTTCATTGCCCAATGGGCCAGCCTATAGAAGAAATCCACAAGAAACCAAAGAGATTCAAAGATAAGTGGATGAACTCATTAGAAAAGGTTGGGTAAGAGATAGCATGAGTCCTTGTATTGTCCCGGTAATTTTGGTCCCTAAAAAAGATGGGATTTGGCGCATGTGTTCCGATTGTAGAGTCATTAATAACATCACCATTAAATATAGGCATCCTATACCTAGGCTTGATGATTTGCTTGATGAATTGCATGGTGCATGTTACTTCTCTAAGATTGATTTAAAAAGTGTATACAATCAAATTAGGATTAGAGAAGGGGATGAATGGAAAACCGCTTTCAAAACAAAATATGGTTTGTATGAATGGCTGGTTATGTCTTTTGGCTTAACTAATACTCCTAGCACTTTCATGAGATTAATGAACCATTTATTGAGAGAATTCATAGGATACTTGGGTTAATCAATTAATGGGCTTTAGTTTGATTTTGTTTCAAGTTGTAATAAAGACCTAATTGGAAAATTAGGCATCAGCTTTTGGGAGACCAAGAGGGTGCATAACTGATTAACTTTTGGTTATCACAATTTAAGTTACAATCAGTCATTAAGTAGTTTTTAATTCTTAGGTTAATGGATCATTATTAGCATTTATTTGTCTCCATTAAGTAGTTTTTAATTCTTAGGTTAATGGATCATTATTAGCATTTATTTGTCTAGTTTTCAATTCCTAAATTAATGGATCATTATTAACATTTATTTTCCTTTATTGAATCTTTGTAACTCTGATGACAAAGTTTCTATATAAGCTGAACTATTTTTATCAAAAATACAAGTTGAGTTTTATTCAAAAATATTAGAGTTTAGCTCTTTTATTTGGTGAGAGTGATTCTCCTAAGTTCTTGAGTGATTCAAGAACCCTTCACTGTATCAAAAGAATTTCACATCCTTTGTGAGTTGCCTCTCTTGGGAAGAGTGATTCTTTCATTCGACCTTTCATATTTCCCTCTTGTCCTTTCTTCACCAGAATCCAGAAAACTCAATTCTGCTCAGATTTATTTTGTGGTCATAAATTTCGTTCTACTTGTCCAAATTGAGTGTTTTTTTTAGCTTAAATTGAATTCAGAACAATAAATTTCACTTCTTTTTTTAATCATCTCAATTGGAGTTTTATAACTTTAGATATCGACATTTCTAAAATTCTGTCCAACCTTAACTTTCACCACTTTCTAATTCGCCTTCTCACTGATTTTCTAAATTTTCTACAAAGTTCTAATCCTAAAGATCCTAAGTCAGCCCTTATGCAAACGAGGTTCATATAAGAAACCGTCGATATTATCTTTATTTTTTACTTTTTTTTTAGAAATTGCAAAAGATAATAAATATAAATATGATTAAATAAGTGTAATAGACGTGACAAATTGTATTAAGACACTTGCATTTTAAAAACTATTGCGAACGAGATAAAAATATTTTAATAGAGTTCTTGATAATTTAAGTCACCACTTGTATTTATTTTTCTATACCTATTTCTGTTTTATCTTTATTAATTTATATTTTTTTAAGAATTTTTTTCTTTAATTTTCCTTTAACAATGAATATTTTAAGTTGATACGTAAGATATGTGTTATAAAGGTTGATTTCACACTGTGAAATAAAATATTTAGTTAATGTTACTATATTTATGGCTTTAATTAAAATATTGTATAAATTAAAATTTCTTATTTACTAGTTTAAATAAAAAATTCACAAATTATAAGTGATTAGTGTCGATTATATTTCCATAAACACTATCAATTTGTTTTTTTAAGTTTACAAAAAAAAAAAATTGTTAAGAAAGGAGATAATATCTAAACAATGAGATTCAACCAATGTCTCTAATATGATTAATAAACCCTAATGGCTCTTATCATCTTTTTCTATACACTATGTATGTGTTAAGTCTAAAAATTATAAAAAAATGAAAAGAATAGGTCGAGTTTGATTGGGTATCGAATGGTTGAAAAGAGTGAAGACAAAAAATCAAGAATTATATATTGAAGTAAAAGAGTAGTTAGAATTGAGTTTTTTAAGAAAATACATAATATGGATAATTTGATAATCAATGAATTAAAAGAGAAAAACATTGAAAAATTAGGAATCAAGGATTAAAGAGTAGAAAAAATGAACATGAATATATCAAGAGGAAGTTACAAGAAATAATTTTTTAGTGGTGCATTGAATGATTGATAAAGGTGGAAGTTTCATAAAATGTGCAAATTACAAGTGAACTTGTACCAAGGTGAAACATTTAAGTTTAAAAGATTTTAATTTGTAATTTTTATTTTATTATTTTTATGATTACTTTACCAGTTAAAAAAAACAAGATATATAAGATAAAATAAAGGTAATTAAATATGATTGTCAAATGGTACAACTTATATTATAAAAAAAAACAAATACTGTAAATTAAGAACAAATATTTTCAATGAAATCATTTGTAATTTAGATAGTTACTTTAGCTGATTTTTTTATTAATTTCTGTTTTATTTTTAGTAATTGTTATATTTATTTTTATGTTATTTAATTTTCTGTATATTTATTTTTCAGTTATTTACTTTTATAGTCATTTTATTATTTTTATAAGTTATTCTAAATGTTTATAAAAATTAAACGGAACCAATCTTTTATTAAAATTTGTATTGAATTTTGAGTTAAATTAGAAAATCTACGTAATATTTATTTAAGTAATTCACTATTTAAATTGTATTAATTATATCAAATCATTAATTATTTACGTTACAAACAGTAAGATAATAAAGAAAATCACTGCGTAGATTGTTGAACATATCCGTTATATCATTACTTTTATTCAATGTTGGTGAAGTAAATGTATATTAAATGGACCTGTGATGTTTGCAAATTGCAACTCACATAGTTTATAATAACTCTATACAAAAAAAAATAAAAAAAAATACAGAGAAATGATTGGGTTCACACAACTTAAACCCGCTTATCATATTACAATTTTACCAAAAGAATAGAACATAATTTTTTTTTACTAAAAAACAAAAGCAAGTGGGTATAGGAAGCTCCAAGAAACTTAATCATGGTGACTGGTTAGAGTCCAAAACCTGCCAATCTTCCCAGAATCCCTTGTCTGTAAGGCAAGAAGGTTCTCTTCTTCATATCCTCTGACTCTGCTTTCTTCATGGCATAGTGCAACTCATGCGCTGAAACTTGTCCCTTTATTCTCGACGAATCCGAGGATCTAAAACTCGACGACCCTTTAACTTCATCGTTGCCATTCTTCTTGTAGTACTTCTTCAACGGGTCCTTGCTCGACCCTCTACCTTCAGAAGCACTTCGAAAAAGCAAAAGATCCTTCAACCACCACCTCTTAGAACCCTTGGAAGAACTACTCGAGGACAAGACACTCGATTCGTCTTTGTTGCTCCGTGGTTGTTGTTGCTGTTGTTTTTCCGCTTCCCAAGATTTCCTATAAGGAGAGTGTGATCGTGCCACCCTGCGACCCGAGTTCGACGACGACGACAACACTATCTCTTTTTCTCTTCCTCTTCTTTCTTCACTAGCAAGAGGATCCCTAGACTTACGAGAGTCATTCAAGGGTTTGATTTTTCCACCGTCGAAGAGCTCTTCGGCCGAACGAGACGACTTGTCGGATTCACGACTCACGGAAAACGCAAAACTATAATCATCTTTATCGTTGTCGTCATCATCATCATCATCATCAATTTTGTTGGCTGCTTCAAATGAAGAGTTTGCGGTGGATGAATAATATTCAAATTCACTGTATAGTTGAGACAACCTAGACGGACTTGGGGGTGCGCTTAGGAAGTAGTTTCCAAAACCTTTGGGCGAAGAAGGAACACTATGATAGATCGAACCCACGTTGCTCCCGAAATCGAAATTATCCATGGTTGGACTACTCGGACTTTGTATCACCACTTCCATCTTTCTCCAATCCAAGATAACTAACTAACTGGTCCAAAAAAGAAGAACCCAAGTAACAATAACTTGTTTCTGACTTAGCTTTTGTGTTTGTGTGTTGGGTTTGTAGCAAAAGATTTGTGTGAGAGATGTGGGTATTTATATAAGAAATGTGGTGGTGGTGGTGGTGGTGATGGTGGAGGAGAAGGTGAGAAGAAAGATCATATATGATGTGGGAAAAAGGGGTTGGGGATTGCTTTGTTGACCATCATGCGTTAATTTAGCCGCCTTTTAATACCGTTTGCTTTTCTTTATATGTAAATTGTGTCTAATTCGGTGCTAGCTGTGATTGAAATCGTGCGTGGATAAAAATTATAAATATTACCCAAAATTGTTGACCCACATGTCTCATTTTTATACATTTTGGTTTGGTAAGCATCTATGTAATGGTGTTTAACTTGTAGTTCTAGCTAAACTCTTCTGTAACAATGGATATTTTTCTTGAGGACAGAGGATGACTGAATTATTTAAATAATGTGAAGTATTTAAGAGTATTATACTGAAGTATTATTTCACCCAAAATAATTATTTATAAAAGTGGAATAAACATAAAAAAAAAACTAAACAAAAAGTGTTAATATTGTTCCATTGTTTCGAGACGATTTTGATGTATTGCTAAAGTATTATTTATGTACACGTTTGTGGGTGTATATAACATTATTGGGCAATTTTCAATTGGTGGTTAAGGCAATTCTGTGGCTAATTTGCGTGATTACCCCTTAACTTGGTCAATTGGGAGCTGCTATTAAATAATGAAAAACAAAACCATGGATAATTATTATCATCTTAGAATCTAGAAGTACTTGCCAATTCAACATGAATAGAAATAGTTAAATAGATAATTACAAAATCAAAACATATATCTATTTATTTTTAAAAGGCCGTCTTTTGTTGCATGGAATATCGATAATGGTCGATGAGGATGCATTGTGAAATCCCTGGTTATAAATAATTTAAAATATAAAGATATGGGTATGATGAGTATTTTTTTTATATTATGAATAAATACTTGAAATAGACTGCAACGTCGATTGCATGCAGAAAACAAAGTACTATCAAATCATAATAAAACCTTGATGAAGACTTTATGATAGTAATAAAGTTATATATGTATTTTATTTTTTTGGGTGAGATTATGTATATGCTTCCCTTCTTTGTCGGAGACGAAGACAAGGGAAATTATTATTACACATAGAAGATTAAGTTATTTTCAGTATTAAGAGGTAATTATTATTATTATTATTATTATTATTATTATTATTATTATTATTATTATTATTATTATTATTATTATTATTATTGTGTCGTTTAAATATCATTTTAGTGTTTGATTTCATCTAATTTTAGTCTCTCCAAAAAAATTTGTGAATTTTAAATATCTACTATTTTTTAACAAATATTTTTTGTTCATATTATTAATTACAGTTAGTTTAACACTAAAAAATTAAAATTATTATAAACTAATAATGAATATTTAAATTAAGATAATTAAAACACATTATTTTATTGTTTATTCAATAATTTACTTTATATATCTTTTACAAAATTAGTTATATTTGACACTTCTAATTAATTTTCTATATGTCAAATTTAATAATATAACCTTTAATCATTATAAAATAATTTATTATTTTTTCTATTTTTAACATTGACTAACTAGAGATAATAATAAGAGTGGTGATATTTTGACAACCGAAATCATATAACCCTTCAAGCAACTCACTTTTATTAATATAATAATCTATAAAATGATTGAATAAAAATAAAAATAAAACAAACTATTATTATAATATTAAAAGAGAGTTGTTTATAGAAGTTGTATGGATTTCGGTTGTCAAAGTATCATTTTCTTAATAATAAAGATTAAAGAAATATTAAAAATAACATAAATTTAAAATTACAAATTGTTTTTTCTAAGAAGGAGAGTGTTTTAAGGGATTGTCCGTTTTGAAATTCTCGTGATTTTATTTTTAAAAGACATATCAATAATTAAGAGATGAAGATGTATATAAATTATTTTTAATTTCAACTTTTAAGCGATATGAAACTTATGAATATATTAAAACACAAATATTTTTATTAGATTGAAAGATGATAGAATAGTTTTAAGATTAATATTTAAACTTGATTATTTTGATGCATTAGTTATTGTTGTATGGCGTGTTGCTTTTGACAATATCGACAATCTTAAGGACCACAAACATGTGGTTAATTCCCAACAAGACTTGTTCACCACAACAACCCTTCTAGAATGGAGCCTTTACTTGCAGTGAGTGCAAAACAAACATCATCTCATCTACAAACAAAAAATAAAATAATAACTCCAATGGAAGTGAAATCACGGTAGAGGGACAAGACTTTTCATCAAACCATTAGGCTTATTTTTCTTTTTCCATCTATCTCTTTTCAGAAGGCTTATTCATTTCTCTTATGTTATTATAATTATCCTTTATCAACTTTGCAATACAATAAATCAATCACACATCTTTAGATTGTTTGAAATAAAAGAAATTTAATTTTATACTTGAAAAAAATAAATTTTCAACAAAACAACACAGAGAATCGAAATTCTAATTAAAAATGCAAATAAATTGAAAAATCTTATCGGAATTTTTTTTTTGGAATCTAAAAAAAAATATTTCTATCATTATTATGATATTGCATATTCTTGGATAAAAAAATCCATTCGGAATTGTTAAGCAAAATGATGAAATGATTTATATAAAAAAAAATTATATAAAATTTTTTATATATAAAAAAGGTTAGTTAAAATATTTTTTTCATTATTAATTTGTTAAATGAATAAGGTAGATAATAACAATTAGTATATAGTTTATAATATTGATTATATAAATAAATTATCTTGAACTAATCTTTATAATCTTTTAAAAATTTATATTTTAGTTAGTTATTAAATATTAATAAATAAATTTTAAAACTAATTTTTATTTTAAATATTTGTCCTTAATATTTATTTTTTAAATATGTATATATATATATATATATATATATATATATATATATATTATTGTCTCTAAACAATAAATCAAATTAAATTATTGATAGAAATATATCACTTTGAGATATTAGCTTATAAAACTATTGGATACTTTCTTTACTCCTGTCTTAAGTATTCTACATTTATTCATTTATAATTTTTTTCTCTACTTCAACACATATCGGAATAGTTCAGAGAACACGTCACAAATTTTGGTCAAACTCTAAATTTAGTTAAGAATAATTATCATTGAAAATATAATTTAATATTTATATATGCATTAAATTATATTTTATAAATTACAATGATAGTATATAGAAAGTTTTATAAAATAAAAATATTATAAAAGATAAAGTTACATTTAAAAATCTATTTTAATTTATTTTAATTTTGTGATTAATTTTAAATTTTTATACACTTTAAAAAATTAAATTTACCATTTAATTAAAGAGATTATTATTAATTGTGCATTTATGATTGGTGGAATGGTTCAAGTCAAAGTCAACTGTTAGACTTGCTTATTATTTATTCATCTATAACAGAGGCAGCGAGGACTTTTTAACCATCCCCGTCCCCGCCCCGACTTTTTTAACCATCCCCGTCCTCGCTCGATCCCGCAGGGTTAGGAATTAAGTCCCATCCCCGTCCCGCTGGGTTTCGGGTTCCCGCCCCGCCCGCCCGATTTATATTATTTTTAAAAAGATAATTATATTTATAATAAATAATTTTATTATGTATTTTTATATATAAATAAATATTTATAATTTATAGTTATTATTAATTAAATATACATTTTAATTTATTATATTTATGTTAAAATATATATGTAAAAGAAATATTTAATTATTTTTTATTTATATATATATATATATATATATCTAATATTTATAACATTATTATTATTATTATTATAACACTGTATTCAAATATTTGAATATTTATAACATTGTTATTATAATATTGTATTCAAATATTTAATTATACATATAAGTTAATTCATTTTTAAGTTGTCTATATATAGTTTATAAGAAAATATTTAATAAGTTAATTCTTATTTAATTAGTTTGAAGTAATAAAAGTTTAAATTATTAATTTCTTTTAATTCTTTAAAATGCAATTATTTTATTAAGATAAAATTTGATATATGATAAATAAGCATAATAAGATAAAAAAATATGACATACTAAATATAAATTATAAATAAACTAATATTAGTTACTACTAAGATTGATGTAAAATATTTAGAAAAAGATAAAGAAAAAAGATTATCTTTGTGTTCATCAAATTGGTTGAAAAAATTGAAAAACAAAAACAAATTGATGGGAGAGACTAAGAAAATGTGAAAAACTGAAAGATAAGGGAGAGAATAATATAATAAATTAATTGATATAAAAGATTGAAAAAGATAAAAAAAATTAAAAAGTGGGTAGAAGAAAAATAAAAATTGGTGAAATATAAAAAAATAACCTTATATGTAATAGAAAAAGAAAATGAAATACTTTTAAAATATTAATATTTTAAAATTTAAATTTAAATATAAAGTCGGGCGGGGACGGGCGGGGTCGGGGTGGGGATTGCATTACCCATCCCCGCCCCGTCCCCGACTTTTTAAAGCGGGAAAACCCGAACCCGACCCGCCCCGGTCAACTCGGGTTTTCCCGTCAAACTCGGGCGGGACGGGTCGATCCCCACGGGTACGGGTTTAATTGCCATCCCTAGCAGGAGCAGCATGTGTGTATTGCGCGGCCTTGTAGCAACTAATTCGGTTCTCTCAATTTTGTCGACACCAACTTTTGTGTACACTTCTACATGTTATTAATTGTAAAAATACTCTTTACAAAATTTCACAAAACAAAAAAGTAATTATAACATATGAAAATAATTTTCAAATTTAACGCATTTCCAAAGTATTACAAGCATAACTCACTATACAATGTTTTTTTTTTAATTATTATTATTATTATTA